TTATATGAGATATAGTCTAAACTCCTTAAAAGGGGGTCATAAAGGGGATTTTATAGGGAACTACTATAGGGGTTATTACGGGGATACTAGGAGTTTAGACTATAGCTCATATAGGGGATATGTTGGAGGTTATATTGGGGTTATATTGGGGTTACATCAGGGGCTATATTAGGGTTATATTCATCCTTTGCAAAAGGGGTTTATAGTCGGGGCCGGGCTATCTAGGGTTTTTACATCCGTCAAGATCCACAGTGGAGAATCAAATGGACGAGAAACTGGAGAATGAAAGGGACATTGGGGATGTATAGGGGTTGTTTGAGGCATTGATGAGTTCAAGCTAACTTACCAATATTCAGCTAACTTGATTTGGGTTCCTTGACAGCGACCCAACTGGTAGACTTGGCGCAGCAGACCGTATTCTTTGCAAGTCCTCGCCAGGTTAGCAGCTGCTGAAGTGCGGGACGCCGGGAATCTTAGCTTCCATTATCATTACATGCCCGCCATCACCCTAATCAGGGGATTTGGGTTACCCCAATTTCCAAAAGAAGGACCCCTATGGCTATCTTGTGACGATTATTCATAAAGTTCTCATCCTAGGGGGTGAGGTTAACAAAATCACAGACACGACGTCGCCGCGAGGCCGTGGTCCGGCTGTATCAGCCATTGGCACCTTGGTTCTGTAATTATGTGGGTGAGGGGAATTTAAAAGCTTTCTGGTGTGAAAGGTTGAGCGATCCCCTCCTGCAGCCTTTCATCCAGAGCGAATGGCGCGGCACTTGGCAGTTGCCAGTTACTCGGATCCGACCACGTGCCTGAGCAAGAAGTTGTGGCTTCACTCAGGTGTCCCTGAAGGCCCCGAACTGCAAGCCAAGCCCTCAAGTACCTGCAGACTGCAGCCAGCAAGAGCAAGACGCGTCACGACATCTAAAGCCTCCCTGACGCAAGTGCAATGCTCGCAAGGGATCCAGCATGGAGCCATCTCTTGGATGGTTCACGCCATGGTCTCATCTGCTCCAATTCTGTGCTGTCTCGTGGAATGGAAGAGCTCAAACCCCTGATTGAATTGGAATCAATTGTCACGGCTGAGGTCGATCACAACCGAGAGCTTTGGTGGATGTTGCTGCCCCGGTGCTTCTCACGTCTCTGCACGCTTTGCAGCAGACACTTCCTGCTTTGTCTACTGGCTTGGAGGTTACGACTGGAATGGGTGGAGGGCTCCTTTGATTTGAAGTATGATGGGTATGAGGGGTTAGTCCTCATGGTAACGAAGCAAGGCCGGAGCTGGACTTGCTGGAGCTGCGTCTGTGGGAGGCATCCCTTTATTGCAAGCAGAAGTGAGGTGCCCCTTTCCATTAGCCAATGCCAGATCAACGCATCTCTGCGTGACCAGCCTCGGCCAGCAGTCAAGGACTGCACCAGCACAGCACCGGCAAGGTGCCAGCAACGCGTCGCCCAGCTGTCCATAGTGATCTGAAAGCGCCGAGTAGCAACAATCTTGCTTTGGTTGACAATTCAGATTTGCCGGTGGCCATTTATGCTCGTGATTTATGCTGGGTAGCTTGTAGCCCATTTGAATGCCCTGTCTCATCAAAGAGTGAGTCGATCCTGGGTTGCAACAGGTGTAGCGCTGGCTGCATGAACATTTGTCCAGACCGTTTTGGGCAGCCCAGGAGTGCTACGTTCTCGGCATGGAGGACTGGTGTGGTCCTTGGCCTTCAGCACGCGTGCCGCGCATTGCAGCAAGTCATCACCAAGGTTGCTGAAGAATGACAATGCAACCTCCTTCTTGTACAAACATGTCGACAGGAGGTGCTGTCGGGAGGGAGAATTTGAAGTCCACGCCGATCGATACCATTTCCCAATGCCATTTTCCCTGATACATCAGCTATCAGGCTTAGGTTATCAGGCGTAGGCTTGTTCGAAGCAACAGTCTCGGAGCCACACCAAGTGCATTGCAACCCTGTGCAGTATTACCGCCCAGACGCTACTTGCCCCGGCCCAGCGCGCCAAACCTAAAGCATCCTTTGCATGTCTTGATCTGAGTGCCAGGCTGGGATATCAGCCGAGTGATCCGGCTCCACCGAGCGCAACCACCAGGCAGACAGTTGGGCATGTAGTCTGTCTTGATACACATTTGCACGCAATGTGTAGGACAGCAAGACATGTGCTCACCATGTGCGACTTGAGCAGAGATGAGGCGCGGTAAAGTTCACCTGAGCCAGAGAGGTGCTTTGTCCCGCAAGGTGATGGATATCTTGCGAGTGGCTGCAGCCATGAAGGAGTCGAGGAAGACCACGGCTTGGACTAGACCTGCCTGGAAGCACCACGCTGCACGCTGAAGGCATGTGATCTCCTTTATCTGAGGAACTACTTGGACACGGGATACGACAGATTCTCGGAGACCTTGAAAGGCGCTTTCTGAAGTCGAAGCTCATGGCAGGATGTAACAACGTAAGCATGAGGACTTGACCCTTTCTTGGTGTTGCATCTGCAGACATGTACATGATTTCTTGAGGCTACTCCCTCCTGACGCTGTTCGAGAAGCCTTCATTGCGCTACTTGATGGACATGGCTTCTCTTGGAATTTGCTATTATTTGCTTACCCCCAGCAACCAGGCACGCGAGTGTCCTTGGAGGTTGGCATGAACCAGCTTGGTGGCTGCAAGCTCAGTCTACACCGCTGACAAAGGATCCCCAATCTCTATAAAACACCATTGAAGTAATCCCAGTGTCCATCTGATTTTCCATGTTCTTGTCTATTCGATTCTGCATTTTGGGGTTGTATAGGCCCCCGATGGCCCCCGTATATCCCCATGTAACGCGAGGCCAGGCAATCTTCTACTCTATAGCCGACTCGCCTCTGGGCGTGAAGGAAAGCATTCAGGAGCCTACCGAGGGTATTTCAAGGGATGTAAAGCATATGAATACATGGAATCTATCCACACAATCCAAACCTGCCAGGACACTGGCAGAGTCCTGTCTCGAATGTGCCCGGCACTTGGGGTGACCCTGAACCCCAAACCCTTAGTTGTAGAGCTGGCTTTCTGCAGATGGGCCTTGCTTGGTTTCTGTGTACTCACCATATCTGCCTCAAGGCAGCTGTCTGCCTCATGTAAGCAGGCCAATGTAGTGCAGTGGGGGACGCCCTGCTTCCCCCTTGATGGCTTCCCTTGCTGCTTAAAGTGGTGGCTGGCGTGGGCGCTGAGACCAACGAGGAAGATGGAAGCTGCACCTCGTGATTTTCACGGAAGCATGGCAGAGTTGTGGCTTTCTGCTTTGCAAAGCAACTGTGGGATTCGGTGATGTCTTAATGAACCTGACGTGATCAGTCACTGGAGCCATGTGGGATTGGGCGGGGAGTTGTAATTAGCACGCATCCTTGAACGCTCATTAATACTGGACGAGGGGGTCGATGCTGTTTGAGTTGGGGATGTGACATGTGTGCCATGATCAGCCTGAAACGTCCTTTTTTGGAACTTCATGGTGACCATATGTCACAGGCTTATTCCTGTAATGTTCACCATGGAATGTTCACCTTACATTTAGAAAGGGCACCCGACTTGAACGCATGCCTGAAGATCGGCAATTAGACTTGTGCTGACCTAGGTTACGGCCCCCACTCAGTAACAGTTGGAAAAGAATGAGTACAAAGTCAGTATATTGAGGATTGTGCAATTACAGGGGTTCCATAACTGCACTCCTCTCTGGGAATTGGATCTCGTTCGTATGAGATAAGCAATTCAACTGCTTTCATTGTTGCTGCCCTGCACATGGATTTCCGGTCATTCTGTTCTTCGCCGGGGCTTGTTTTCACACGCTTCAATCACTCGCAGTCGGCTTCCTTTTTGCATAAGCTCGTGTATGCGGAACTCGCAGAATAGCGCTCTGACAGTATGATGTCATGCTTGCTTGCGCGTTTCGAGGATTGAATCCGCATGGACCCTCTCCTGCAGAACCATTCCTGCGGCGCACAGTCCTCGTGGTAACGTCCATGTGCAGCTCTCAGACTGAAGAGCTTTGGGTTGTTTTTTTGCCTGACATTATGACAAAACACCACAGCTAAGGCAGGGACTGGTGGCTCTATGTCGCTTCTTCATCGGAGATGTTTGGGGTGGAATGTCTGACTTATTGGTGCAGATCATTGGTCTCATTTCGGTTTTTGCCGCTTGCCTTACCATCTGGAGAGCATATGACATGTTGAGGTGTGATGCCACAATCTTATTCGAATGTTGGCTTGCGCTTCCATTAGGAGACAAAAGCGCTCTATTCCTTACTCTTTGCCTTCGCGAGCTTGGTGAATTTCTGCCTCAGTATGGGGCTGTGTCTCGCCATTCTGCAGCTTGCCTGCCAAAACAGCCAAACAGCTGTCACTCCCTTTTTATGGAGTTCTGTTTCAGCAGCACATCAGGCTGCGATCTGTGGATGGTGATGCCCCTAGTACCCTGGCTGCCCTGGCTCTTCCCCTCACAGCCATTGCAGACTTGTTATAGTGAGAACTCCACGTCAGACGACCTGAAAGCCCACAGTCAGACAAGGCCGAAAGATATTTTGGGGACTGCACAGCGGAATTCTGCTGGCCTCTGCGTCAGTGGCGCTTCTGGGTTTTCTGGCAACTTGTCTGGCATTCCATTCATGCCATCCCTTTACCTGCTGAGCATCATGTCCGTATCTTCTGCGTGGTGACCTGACTGCAAGGCTGGCCTGCTGATGTGGAGGGACCTTCGAGCAAGAGAAGCGCAGGATATTGGTGGTACTGCACAAGCCGCAGTGATGTATGGTTCGCTCAAGGACGGCAACGGAGGCTGAGCTATGACCAGCCAAGCAATGTAGTCAATATCATCACAAGTGCTTTCATCATAGCAGGCCAGAGTTTGAATGACCCGTTCCTCTTGGACGCTGGCTCAGCTTCTGATAAGACTGCTGTGCGAGCATACATGGGGCCTTGCGCGTTGAAGCTCTTCGGAACTGATAAGGAACCTGCATGAAGGGCTGAGGAAGCAGCCTTGGTTGCGACGTCCAAGTGAGAGTTGCACAGGTGGCCGGCCAAAGATGCCGGACAGCTTTGCTGGATTTGGCCTGACATACAAAAATGGGAAGAAGGATTGTCATGCAGCTCGAGGTCATGCTTGTAACGGTATTTCTAGTGTAGACAAGGGCTGGTGAAGACATGTCAGCTTGAGGTCAGGGCATCACTGCCCGAGTGATGACGCGCAAGGACCGCCAGCTAAGAAAGCTAGAGGCTTCTTTCAGACTTGGCTTCCCTAAGATGCAGGCTCTCCGGAGTTTGGCACAGGCCTGGTCTGCAACCTTGCATATGTAGCAGACATGCTGGGGGCTTGGGTGCTAGCTTCACGGCCGCAGACCTGTCCAGCCCCTCAAGTTAAGCATGGTGGGCCCATAGGTGTGAAAGTGTGACACTTGTGTTATGCGCCGCTGTTGCCATGGACGTGGATGACTTGCTCGAAGCCTTTGAAGATGCTATTGCGATGGACTCCGTTCAGTCAAGAGCACATGCTTTTTTTGTCTCGAAGCTGCCGCGATCTGCTAGCATGAAGATTAATGCTTTTGTGGAGTCCAGTCTTCATTTCACACACAAAGTTTCCGTCCCCGACAAGTCTTAGACGAGCCTTCAAGGTAAACATGCAAGCCAAGGCTGTTCGAGGGCCTGGAGGCAGCTCTGGATGCCCAGGATGGGGCGTACTTTTTTGAATCGACGTGTGGGGATTTGGAGGGGTTGGATAAAAGAGAGCAGCACAGGAGCAGCGCCTGGAATGGCATGCAGCCTATCGAGAGTACGTGGCCTTACTGGAGGCTAGTGAGAAGTTGAACAGTGAAAGCACAGCCATTTCTGCTGTTCACAAAAGGAGATGGTTCTATCTGCGTGCACGACGCAAGCTGATGTTTCGCGTGAGGCTTCTTGGCTTGCCGGACAGTTCTTACCACAATGATCCTGGCCCAGAGAAGAATGCAAAAACACTCTGGAACGTGAAGAACACAAGCAGAAACAGGAACAGCTTGCCATATGCCGACAGGCAATCCTGGCTCAACTCGCAGAGGTTGCAGGATCTGGCGAGGCTTCAAACGCGTAGCAGAAGCCTTCTGACTATCTTGACCTGACCCGCGGCAAGCTTTGCTCCTCTTGTATGAAGTGTGCATCTGCATTGTATGCAAGTAGACAGATGGCAGCTGCGTGTAGCTCGTTGAATTTGTTTTGCTTCGCAGGTAGCTGTTCTTGTTGGGTCTATTGCAGTTTATGTCGTTGTGCAATTGTGAAAGGAGAGTTTTGCCAGCTTGCAGCTGGCAGTTCCCAGACGAGAATCTATGTGCTGAGATTGGATTTCTGTGCGCGCAGAGAGGGCTGGCAGTCAAACATACTGGGCTGCTGGAACGGCCACTTCACAACATGGGCCTGTAACTGGGACAAACCCCAATCGCGATGACACTTTCCCGTAATCCGATTGAAGGTCACAAAAGATCCTGTGTCACAGGGTATGAAGCAGCTGGCTCCTACCAAGGCTTGTAAAGTCGAGCGGGGTGGCAACGCTACAAACCAGGTTTATGGTCCATATCCAAAGACGCCAGAATACATTAAATGGAAGGGTTGCATTCAGACTGCAGCAAGAACACATGTCAAGATGTTGCAGGCAGATGATCGGAGGCAAGCAAGATTTCTGCTACTTGGTTTACGTTTGATGTCAAAAGCCTTGTCCCATGTCTTGTCCTGTGCATATACGGAGATCGAGGCTGAGCATGTTTGAGTATGGCAGTGGCTTGGCCGATTGTTTCGAGCTTCACTGGGTTGCTGTTATGGAACTTAAAAGCTAAGTTATTATATCGGGGAAACCCTGCTAATTACGGACCCATTAGACTTAAATTAAGTTCCTTAACAGCAACCCAGTCAACCGCCGGGGATCACTACATCGGTTCGCAGTCGTGCTTGAGCCGAGGCTTCCTGACAATGATGCAGGCAAGTGTTCCATGCACGTGCTTGTTTGTAGAGAGAAGAGCTTTGACTGCCAAGATGTTCAGGGCCGTACTGTGCATTCGGTTGCTTCAGCCTTCCGGCTTCGACTTTGTTAAGGAAAGGCTGATGCCAAGAAAGCAGCATTAGCAGCACAACGTCCGGGTCTGAATCCGCTGTTGGATCCAGGTCGAAACTGTATGCACTTGTTTGGATCCTTAAGTTTCCAGGAGTGGCCTCATAGACCTTCGAGATGGAGAAAATGTGCATCCTGAAAATCAGGGCTTCGGGGAACCAATATAGCAGAGCTCCTCAGCCCTCAGCCATATTCCAGCCCCAGCAACCTTTAGCCACCTTGAAGCCTTTGAGCAGTCCTGCGCGGAGCAGGAGTTGCTTCAGCGGCAGCGGAAAGGGCTCCCCTTGGAGTTTGGATCTCGACAGAAGGCACCGTGTAGGTTCAAGTAGGTCACTGTAAGCGGAAACGAGATTCATATCATGTGAAGCCACCCTGCGATCTCTGATCCCAGACCAGTGCCGGTGCGGCACCTGCGGGACCTGCGCCCGGCGGATACTGTGACTCGTAGGTTTAAGAGGGTTCCAGCGCAAAGCGCTATGAGCTGACTCGCTGTAACACAAATCTATTGACGTTTGCTCTGCCCAGCGAGGGCATTGGCATTTGTATGCTTCCAACTGCGACGGTGTCATTTGACAGCTGAAGGGAAAAGACATGCTGCCGTATGTCTCTGCCATCCATGTACGCACAAGCACACAAACACGTCGAACAGCGTAGGTTGCGGAAATCCCTGTCATCAATGCGCTGGACGATTATGCGTGCGCCATCAGTCCTGTGGGATGCGCGATTGTTCTGACTGTCTGTGTTTTTTTGGCACGGAGGCACCCGCTGCAGATGCTTGCAGACCTGTTGACTGTACTGGAGTACAAGGCTTGCACAACGCAAGCTTCCAACAAGAAGTTTTAAGATTATCCCTCGACGTTTGCGAAGAGTTGTCTCTGCAGGGCTCTTTTGCAAACTTCACGATGACGTACATGGGCGATCTGGAGAATAATGTCTGCTCCCCAAAGCGGTGCACAGTCTTCCTGTCTCTAGCGCGAGCTTGCTAGTGCTGCAGGTGACCTATGATTTGATGCGTTGCTGGCTTGGAATTGGCTATGCTTTTGCGCCCATTGCTTTCATTGGCAGCTGCGTAAGGAACAGCAGCTCTGATGGGGTATAACTTGAACCTTGTCTTGCGCTTATGCAGAATGGCACATACCAAAGAAGAGCTGGCTCTTTAGTTTAGACCTTGCGGAGGCTGGGCAGGGCGACATCGAGAAGTCTGCCGCATCCCAAATTCTGAAAAAGGCTCCCTAGCTGCCTGAAGCTGCCTGACAATCTTTAAGGTATGGGACGAAGTGAACGCATTGGCAGAGTCGTCTGGGTACTTGTCCTTGCGACAGACCGCGTGCATTTGCCACTGCGATTGTGATGTGCCATGTTGGAATGCGCTGAGACTTGTATCTAACACCATCTGCTACCTGAGGTCAAAAGTGAAAGTTTGCCCAACCGCTGCTGAGGCTCATTGTGTTACGCAGACAGGACTGCGCAGAATCTTTTGGAGTCCTCTCACACGGGGCTTCCAAAGGCTTAGCTTGCTGTTCCTTGTATCTGAACTGAACTGACCACTACTTTCGCAGATCTTCACTAGCTGTCAGTAGATTCGCGGCATGTAACCTGGCAGGCAATGACCGGAGTAGATTGCGTTTACACCGATAGTTGGATGAGCCTCGAACTCAGCCAAAGATTCGTTTCAGAAGTGCTTGTCGGTGCCAGCGCCGTACAAGACTTGTGTTGAGTGCAGGCTATGGCATTGCAAAAGAAGAAGAGGAAGCCCGCATGAAGCTCTTCATGCCGTATCAGGTCAGGGACGCCATCTTAACAGCCATGCACCTCTGCTTGGCCACTGCATCTTCTTGGCTTCTTCGGGTGATGTCCTTGTACTCGTAGGTCACCGCAGAACTTATGAAGCTTGCAAAGCCAGACTGCATCTTCATGAATTGCAGGGAACCGAGCGCTGCAGGCTCCACAGGCTTCTCACTTCTCACCAAGAACCCTTGCTTTGCTGAGGCTTGCCTGCGGCTCGAGGCATGGAGCAAACTGCAGAAGTAATAGATGGACCTCAGCCAAGCACTCAAAATACGTGCAGCTCTCTACAAGTTGCTCGAAATTGTGTTCAACAAATGTGTTAAACTAGCAGGTCTGTCGTCTTTGACCAGGCGGAAAACCGGCTCCATGCGATGAAGGCTACTCCCGTTGCTATTCTACGGGCATTTCTGCCTGCTCTTGATTGATATTTTTTGAGGCTCTGGCAGTCTTCATGATGGCACCCAAGCGATTTGGGGAAATTATGGGCCTCGGCAGGCCTGAAGCGACCATCGTGCAAACAATGCATCATTTCCTCAGCAGAGACCGTCCTGACTTTGGCCCTGACTGTCCAGGCCTGTTCAAAGCCAAGCAAGGTGATTGCGCTCTGTGCTACCTGTAGCACAGTTGCTAGATAATGCCGCGACAATTCTGTTGCAACCAAATTTTGTACTTCATGCGCAGCTGATCAACCCATCAACATGTGTGCCCAGTTATGACACGTGATGGAACTTGTACTTTTTAGTTGATCAGCTGCAATGCTAAGTCTAACTGTCCACCGAGTTCGCCGGGAGGACAACTTTCGATTTAATCTTGTTTTTCGATCTCTCTTGCAGAGTGCCTGGAGGGCACTACTCGTACCAGCATGTCAATGGTGCTGTCAGGTCTGAGCAGACTGCACAGTGCACCTCAGGGAAAGAACTGCTGCTAATTTACCAGTCCACTCGCATTGCTCATGAAATGGCAGCTTGCTTGAAGTATTATCTCCAAGATTCTTGTTGGCGAAGCAGCGTGACGTCATCGGGCGAATGGAAATGAGTGCATGAAGCGACCCTTTTGTTGCTACACCAGCCACCTCTTCCGCATGCCGGGTCTGGGTTCACCTTGCCATGGCACATCTCGTGCTAGTTAAACCAGGGGCATCAGATGGAGTCGTCCACCTTTTTCTTGCCATGCTGATGTTGTCTGATGTCGCGTTCCTAATCGCTGTTGTTTGGCATCGTTCATGAGATGATTCTGCTGAGCTATTGCAAAAGAGCCTGGCTTCCCACTTGCGTCATCATCAGCAGGACATCTACGTAGTCTCGGAGTCAGCGTACGGACTTCGAGGACACGCGCATTCCCGCCTCTGCAAAACGCTCATGAATCGCGAACGATCATCTCAGGAGACCAGAAGCCACTGCACTTCAGCAGGTCGTGCACTCGACTTTGTTCATTGAACAAACTATGGCAGCTTCCCTAAGGGGACATCAGTATAGATGGCAAAATACTATATCCTTGTTATAGGGACCCCCAACAATGGTATCCATAGTCTTGGGAAATGCCGACATTGCTCTCATGCACAGCTGTCGCATGGTAGATTTAGCTGGGGAGGCAGCGCGAGCGCTTCAACACGTTCTTGCCTCAAATCGAACACGCTGCAGCCTGAGCTGCTTCATGACAACGTGCTAGACTTTAGGTCGACCCCCCGCCCTGTAGTAGAGAATTTAGGGATCATGGTGAGACATTCCTATTATACCGCAAAAACAGGGTGGGGTGTCCACCAAAGATAGAGTGCAGAGTAAGTCAGAGCATAGTCAAACATGCCTAGATCCTCCTGGACAACTGCACGAAGTATGCTTCGGCAATAGCAAAAATGCGACGGGAGCCGGAAGCCAAGTCCTGCTCACCTCAACCCAAACAAGGGTAGACAGCATGTACCTTGCATCGGAGGACGAACAAAGGCAAGAAGAAGGGTGGCGTACCCTGCTCAGACAAGCACCAATCATGCGGGAGACAGCGCGCAGCACCTTTGTGTAGTGTGAGTCTAGAACTTGTTGCAGACAATGTTCTCGGCGGAAAGCATCCAGCGAATCTGTGTGCTCAAAACTCTCATTCAGAGGCTCCGTGGGGCTGGCCATTAATGAAGCAGTGCAGCTCAAGTCAAATTTCATTCGTTGCTGTGCAGTGGCAGAAGGCGGCCAGAGATTCCGGACGATGCACTTCTGATTTTCTCCGACCTGGACGAGGCCAGATGCTGCTCTGCTCTGTAAACGGAGCGGCTCAATGCAAACAGAGCCGTTTGTACGCCAATTGCATGTTGCATGGTTGATATTGGGCAGGTGCCTTCTGCACAGGCCAGGGTTGTTTGTTGTGAGAGGTCGTAGATGGAGAATCCTGCAAGTGTCAGCTTACCTGATCTTTGAGCTGTTGAGAGCTTTCTGGTGTTCATTTGTCTAGTAGGCATGTTGCGGCTGATGTGAACGACAGCTTGAAATTGAAGTATGTTGCCTACACTAGGAATTCGCTGCTTTCCAACATGCACCTAGCCCTGAAGAAAGGGATGCTCGGACAGCTTCCACGCCTCAACATATGCTTTTGCCGGCAGCGGGTTATGGGTGCGAATCGTCCATTTCGATGTGGACCACCATGTTCTTGCCATTTTCAGATTGTTCACATCCTCGGGTCCTCAGGCCATTCAGATGTTGAGGGTGTGCAAGACCAAGCCCAGTGCCAAGGCTGGTCTGCTCTCCTGGCTTACGAGTTCTTAGTAGGGAACAAGGGAACGTAGTCCCTTATTGTAATATGTTCCCTTATTCCCCACAAAGAGCAAGTAAGTTGAGATCATGTCCTTACTTGGCAGGATGGGCCTTGGATCCAGGCCCACTACCCCATGCCGTACAACCTCCGGGCCGGTTGACTTGACTTTTCTGTTTTTGGACCTTGGCTCTGTACCTGATGTTTACCATCTTCCAGGTTGGCTGCAAAGCAAGAAAGAAGTCCGAGTCCATGCCCTAGCAACGAGAGAGAGCCGAACACTCCCTTTTTTTTTGCCTGCGTATAGAACGTACACAGGTTGCACTACCAAGGGGCGCCGAGCCCAGAATTTTTCTCTTCCAGCTGTTATCAGTGGCTCCGTGGTGCCGACATGTGCTGACCTCGAGAGAGCCCGTAGGTTTTCACGACTATGGGCTTCCTTCGCAGGAAGAAGGGCCTGGCGCTGCGGCACGCCGCCCTTGATGTCTTGCAGTCCTGCAAGACTCCATGTCCCATTGTCCAGGTACAACATGAGGCGAAACCTGATTGTGCCTGAGACTTGACCTATCGCGTTCAGCGACCATGTCTGTACACTTGACTTTTGACGGCTCTGCAGGCCGAGAGCTGGGATTCACCTCACTTATGTTGGTGCGACTCTCAGCTTTCTCAGCTTGTGTAGAGCATCTTGGTTGGTACTCTAGGATCTCAGAGCCTCTAGGCGTTGATGCATTCATGCTTGGGGAGGATCTCGCGCTGATGTTGACTACAAGCTACTGCATCACGGTGCCTTCCTTTGAGCATGCTCATGCCTAGAAGGTTTGAGATGTAGACTTGCCTTCGGTCGTGAGGTGAAAGTGGCCAGGCGGGCCTTTGGCAATGCCTTGTTTTCTGTCCCTGAAATCCCTCGCACAAGTCTTGGATGCAATTGCACGCGATGTTTTTGGCTGAGATGCAATGGATCAACAGTACGTGCTGCTCCCATATCGATCCCTGAGTTAGCCTTGTGGCATCGAGAAGTTGATCGAGATGGGCTCGATGGAGGAGATGGCACCCATTGACTCGAAGACCGCGGAGGGTCCAAGCGGTGGTATTGCACCTCCGCCAGTTTCTCAGCGTGAGCTTCGGCAGCTCGGCTTGACGAAACTCTCTGATGCAGAGGCATTCGCCCAGCTTATCTTCCACTTGGGCTGCGTGGCGGTTTGCGCATTGGTGGTCATGTGGGCATACGAACGGGGACACTGGGGCTTGTTGCTGCTGGCCTACGTTCCCTATGGCATTATAGAGTCTTTCCTCTTCAATGGCTTTCATGAGTGTGTCCACAACACTGCTTTTGAGACGAAAGCATTAAACACAGTTTTTGCCCACTTGCTTGGGTTCGAGAATTTCCGTGGAGCAAAGTGGTTCTGGTGCTTCCATTGGTCGCACCACCGTTTTACAAACGACCCGGATAAGGACCCCGAGCTCAGCGGAGAAAGCGTTGACTTGGACGATCCCACGAAGTCGCTGACAGGATACCTGCAATTTGTGAGTGGCTACCCATTTGGCTTCGAGCGGGTACTGCGCATGGCTCGCACTGTCATTTATGATGAGGTGGACCCATGGGTTGCAGAGAAGCCAGTTGCTACACAGCAGTTCGTGCGCATGGAGTCCGCCGCCTATTTGTGCGGCTATGCGCTGCTTGCGATTGCAGGCCTTGTGTGGCCTCGCGCGGTAGGCTTGAAGCTTATACTTCTCTGGCTTGTGCCACACTGCGTTGGTGCTGGGCACTTGCGGCTCTACCAGTTCGCAGAGCACAGGGCCTGCAAAATGGGCCGGTACACTGACACTAATGCTTGGATTTGTGCAAGGACGACTTCGACCTGGTGGTTGTACAGGAAGCTTGCATGGTACATGCCTTTTCATGCGCCATGGCTGTTAATTGATGATATTTGCATTTAGTCAAGTCGCTTTTTCCTGCTATTCCTGCTAACCATAAATAGGACAATATGTTCTCTAGATGAATCTTGCTTAATTGTGTAAGTTGCCTGCTCCAAGGTCGAGCATCATGCCTTTCCCAATGTGCCCTTTCACAAGCTGGAGGCTGCGCATGAGCTTGTCAAGGCCACCTACCAGAAACAGGGCCTCGAGAGCATCCCAACTGGCTGTGATCCACCTGGATCTGATGGCTACACTGGCCTCCACTGGATCATGTTCAGGCGAATGCTCAACAACACCTTCTCCAAGGAGAAAGTTGCCAAGGCGGCTTGAGTGACCATGCACAGACATAACATACTCAGCATGAGGTGCAGTCAGATGCCTGAGTTCCAGCAGCTCTAGCCAGTCTAGCTACGGCGCCCGCAGATGTACAGAGATGCCGGGGGTCTCTTGTCAGGTCCTCAGAGCTTCTGTTTGTTCCTGTAGAGAAAGACTGGGAAACTGCCAAGTCACGCCCATGTGAGAGTCCAAGACTAGCATGACAAATGTGGGTCTCAGGATCCAAATTTTCATCCATGCCAGCGAATGACCGCAGGAGGATGTTGAGACAGAGCTAGAGTTTGATTTGACCCTCCGTGAGTCATCCCAGTCATGCAGAAACAAAATTTTGGAGCATATTTGCATCTTGTACCTGCATTACTAGAGTGCCAGGCAACACCTACACTTTTCGAGTTTCGAGCTGGTAGGTTCTTGCCACCAAAGCAACTGCCAACGGCAAGAGGTTGAACTTCTGCGAGGCCTAACATAGCCTGGTAATGCTTGATTGGTGAGTGAACTTGCAGTCCAGATATTGAATCAAACTCATGCAGATTGACGCGAAGACGCTGGCATCCATGGAGCAACTATTGCGAGACAATCCTGTGCCGTGGCCAATCAGCAGAACATGTTTTGCATGTTACTTGTAGTTTTTTTAGTTCTGCAAACCTTGGGATGGGGGTTTCTTCATCACTTTGGCCCAGCAGGTTTCCGTGGCGAGGGCATGGGAGCGAGGCAGGTTCTCGGTAAAACTCCCAGGGCCCAGGGTTCAGGAACAAGCAGAACTGTCGCCCAGGCAAGTCCTCCGTGCTCCGCAAAGAGCCAGCAGGTGACCTCTCCAAATGCCAGGTGTCTGGCACTTTGACTGGGCTCTACATGCACATTCCTAGAAGATCTGGATTCCGTGGGCCTTCGGTTTTAAGGCCCTGGGCACTTCTTGCACATCCGGAGCCCACCTGGCTGTCTTATTTCTTCGGTGTTGCAGGGTGCTGGCACCAATGTCCTGGCAGGCGCTATCCGCACTTCTGGGGAAGGGCTTAGAGCGAGCTCTTGTGGGCGATGGCCGGAAGTCAAAGCATGGAATCTGCAGAATTCGGGTGCAAAGCTCACCCCAATAATCGCTTAACGCCTGAAAGAAGATTCCGACTGCTGCTTTCTGCCGCATGATTTGTCAAATTGGCCCTGCAGGCAGCAAGCAAACAAATGTACGAGATATCAAGGCCCATCAAGGACTGACAGAATGAACGTGTTGCTAAATCTACCCAGCCTCCTCTGCCACTCCTCCTTCTGCTTCCGCCCTTGTTCCTCTCTTCCTCTCTCCATCTGTATCCCTCAGTGTTCAAAGCTGTCCTCCCGCAGAACGCCAAACTGGAAATGAGCCTTAAGCCACAGCTCCCAGGTCTTCTCCACTAGCATTGAAAAGGCTACGGTGGTAGATTGAACATTGGGCACTACAGCTTCAATGCATAAAGCCTCCCAGAAGCAGCACCGAGAGAAGACATTGCCAGTGGCTTCTCGGAGCTCTGAGTGGCTTCTCGGAGCTGTGACATCTTACCCTCCTCTGATGCTAAACCTTATATGGCTCATTGTCAATAGCAGATCAGGCTTCTATCTGGCAGAGCTTACCGGCGCTGGTAAGCAGCATTGTTGGTGGTGACAATTGCAATTCCGAGTTTTTTCCGGTGTCTAGAGTCTAGGGCTGGCGCAGATAACCCCGAGCTGTGCTGGGCCAGGATCTGCAGATTCACTCGTTGCCTTATGATCAACATCTTCGCATGGGATTGCATGATGACACCCCCCTAAGATTTTAGACAAGCCTCAACATAAAATCTGGATGGAGGCGGAGAAAACAATAAGTGGCGAAACACATGATTACAAGCCAGAACCCAATCAAACGATAAGAACGGTGACCACAGCTTGGTATGAAGAAAAGACAGTACGGCAGCTGTCCGGTTGGCTCTTGAGAAACCAACCTGGTAATTGCATCCTTCGACAGGAACACCATCCAAGATAATCTCTCAATAGTATATTCCCAACATAATATACACCTGTATAATCCCCATTACAGTAATATCCATTTGATTTTCCGTTATGCCAAGCAAGTTGCAGCCTTTGGCCTCCTTGAGGGTTTGTATTTGCACGCGCTTTGGATTTGCGTGCGCATGCTGCGCTGATGGCTACCTGGCGATCTATTCGTGACGACGGCGACTTTATCACCAATCCATGTCAAGCCGTGCCTCGGTGAAATTGCATGGACATTTTAGAGTCTATAGCATGTCATATTATACTGTAATACACACTCTACAAACTCATAGTATTATATATATATAGTATACTACAGTATACTCTAACATAGTTAACATACAGGTATAGTATACGCTTGACTGGAGGTTGGCATGAGAAGCTCTGCTCCGCAGGCCTGCGCGGCGGGATGCTCTGGCAGGAGCCGCAAGTGCCGTTGCCACCCACGCCAAACAGACGAAATGGGAGCAGGCACTGGGGTGCTCTATATATCCTATCTTAGGGATACCTTTAAGGGGGATATAGGGGGGGTATATAGGTGAGCTTGTTTGTGATGGTCCTTGCACACTGTCTGATTTGTATGATGCACCTTTGATGCAAAGCGCACATCGGCGATGCTTGTTGAGACCTTGCACACTTGTGAAGACACGGCCGAGGAGATATCTCGTTCGTATTTTTTATAAGCCTTTGCGATTAATTCTGTATGTACAAAGTTTTGTGCAAACCTGGCTTCCGGTCCCACATGAGCTGTGGTATGTCAAGCATACGAATACAACCACCTGGCCATGCTGGGCCACGCTTGTTTTGCGTGTGCGAGGCAACTTTCATCATTGCAAACTTGCGTGGCCGGCGCTTGGAATTGGATGCCACTGTTTCTGAAAAAGCCGTCATGTCAACATTACAAGTTATTATGCAATCACCGCAATGGACAACCTCAGCCAGCCACAGTGTTGGTTGTCAAGCTGTGGTAGCTAAAGCCGGGCAGCGGCGCTTCGCCTCGAAAGTTCAAGTGTAGGCCGAGATATCCCGAGATAGCACATCCCGAAATGCAATCACTGTCCATAGCGAGATCCGAGGTCGCAATCTGCAACGCTCTTGTATCCGTGGTTGCCAAGAGTTTGCGGTGGCTATGTGCCCTATCGGCGTTCCAATGGATGCAAAGGCCCACCAAATCTCTGATACCCTGTTGTATGCATGTGTGTGTTTTGCATCATCCCCCTGGCTCTGAGACAGGCTGAGGCTGAGCCACGATCACATCTCCTTCAACTCAAGTATCTCAGCCTGTGGCAGAGGAGGTGCGTGGACTCAGGCGTTGCAGTTGTCCGCAGCCTTGCGGACAGACAGTTTGCAGCCGGATGTGGTCACGTTCAACGCAGGAGTGGGGCGGGATAGATCACAATAATTGCCATCAACATGCTCTGACATCTTGCCCTGAATTTGAGAAACTTATGCGCAGGTGGTTTCCAAAGAAGCACCAAACAAGAATTGTTGCGCTGTCTTCCTGCTGCTGCTGCTGCTGCTGCTGCAAGGTTAGAATAGGGTAGTTGGCCTTTTCAGGAATCTCTGCATGTGAAAGTTCTGGCCGCTGGCCTTTGGCCCTCGCCATTCTGCGCGACATGTGTGGCCGGGTGAAACGACATCTGGTCACCTTCGGTGCCCTGCTGAATGTGGCCAGACGTGCAGCTGTGTGGGAAGCAGCTCGCCTGTTTCTAGGACTAGTAAGTCCAAGTTGCAAGTCAGATTGCTTAGCCTTCAAGATTAGGAAGTAGTCGGCAGATGGAAGCAGGTTGCGCTTATGGTGCTGCTCAGCATGACTCCCTGTACCCTGTATCCAAACGAGGCTGGAATTTCACCTGTAAACCCGTTCAGGGTTTGCTTGCTGGAAGAGCTACATATTCTGCGCAGGTCTGTAACAGTGCGGTTCTGTCCGCGGTCCGAGCTCAATCCAGCAAGTGGAAAAGCGCTAGATCTCTGCTGGCAACAGAGGTCGGATCTTGGCAACGTTAAGCTTGACGAATGCTTGTTAAGGACCGTACCTGAACACTTCGCAATCTTCCGAGATTAAGTGCAAACTCCTCATAGTGCAGGTGTCCCTAATTTTACCACATTGTTTAGCGTGTTGTGGTAGTGGAATTGATTTTGCCAGTTATTAGTAGTTTCTGAGCTACACTCTGCTCCGTGAAGGCCTTGACATCAACAACGGTGAGCTTGCTGCTCAGTTCAATGGGCGGCGATGGATCATGGAGTGAAATTATGCGCCTGTTTCGGAACATGGAAGATGCTTCCATCTTGCCGACACTCGCGACTATGAATGCAGGACTGCTGACAAAACGCAAAAAATCATGCATGGCAAATTCCAACAATCAAAATAGAGTCCTGCGCTTTGTGCTGCTGCTAGTCGCGTTGTTGTGTGCCATGGAATACAAACGACAGCTTGCAGGCATCACGGCGTGTCACAGAGTCAGTCGCTGGGAAGCGTCTCTTTCAATGCTCTCGGAGATGCTATGTTGCCCTGAATGGCGGAGCCTTGGACAACATGTCGCGAATTCAATCATTTCCTGGGCTGCTTCTTTCGCACATCTTCCAGATGAAGATGCGCTGCCATGAAGTGCGTTGAGCTGACTGAGTTGTCGTAAGGCCGGATCATATCACCTGCGCGGCCAGCTTGAGCGCCTGTGAGAGGCGTACAAATTGAGAGCTGCGCCTTAGGATCAGCAGAAGCTGCAGCCTGTGTTGAGACGCACAGATTGGCCTTGCATGTTCAGGGGGCAATTGTGGCAGCTCACTACCGGCCTGCTGGGGGTTTTCCGCCAACAATCCACACAGCTGGACCTTGCAGCAGCTGGCCTGAAAGTCGCGCTTGGAAGATCAAGGGAGGGCTGCCGTTCTAGTGAGTATACTGCTAACCATTGGTGTTTGTCAAAAAAGGTCCACCATGCAGCTCTCAGTGCAGCTGCAAAGGGGCACACCTGGCGAGTAGCCACAGCTGGACTTCACGAATTCAGAAATGCAGGCGGGCAGCACCACGCCCGATCGGGGTTTCAGCACATTACTGTATGGACCTGGCAGGATTTCCACCCTCCGCAACAGCCATCAACGCTGCAGCCTTTGCCTGTCAAAGTGGAAAGCGCTGGCGATGGAGTGCTGAGCTCTTGGGACAGCTCAGGAGGGAGCAGCTCAGATTCAGATGTTGTTTTGCTATACATGCAGATGTAAGCAATGCCTCTAATTGACCGCAATGCGTGAGATTTTTCCACCAGTGAGAGGACTGCTGCCTTGCGCCCAGATCATTTCGCTGCAACCTCTTTGCTTGATTCTGTGTGGCCCGCTGCTGTCCACGTGCTTGAGGCTGGAAGCATTTGAAGTTTCTATAGTTACTGGTTCGGCATCTGCAATTCTCATGCCTTCCTGGCCTGCGGCGCACACTTGACAGGAATTCCGGCAATGGCTTCTGGAGCCTGATGACCTCGCATCCAGTGCAGTTCTAACGAAGCTTACCCGCAGCTATGAAAGAAAGGGTTCGGCACGAGCAGGTGATTGTGTGCATCTAGGACCCTTTCAGTGCAGAGATGTTGGGAGCTGGCTTTGCTGCTCAAACAGCAGCTTTCTATCAACCTGGGAGATGCCTTGGCATGCCCCTCGTCATGCAGAGGACATGCTGAGCATGGCGGCATGGCTGGAAATTGTGCTTTTGCGATAGGTGACTCGCTTACCAACGCCTGCGAGTCGGCCAGCGGGTTCAGAGCGCTTCCAGCTTTGCTGCGAGAAGCAGCCTCTGTGGAAAACTGGCTTGCACCTTTACAGTTGGGAAGAAAAATGCGTTGTCTTCACATGCAAGAGGATTTTGAGCAAGCGAGTCGTGGTCAGTGCTTCGGTCATACTGTTCAGAAGATGGCTCGAACGAGGGCTGGCGGGCTTGAGAGATCTTGAGTGTTTGACAACAAGCTGTTTTGTGTTCAGAAAGTCTGGCAGTCGAGCTAGCTCACATACCGTCACAATTCATCACATACCAATCAGCTGAATCAACTTGTTGCCAAAAGGAAGGGTTGCGGTTGGACTCCAGCAGCTGAGAATGAGCCAAATGTATGGAGGCAGAAGCTCATGCTGATGTGACGCGGCTTTCGTTCAACGCCCTTCATCCCTCTCAGGGCGCCGATAGACCAGATCAAGGCTCTTCATGCAGAAGGTTGAGGAGCGGACGAGGCCCTCCGTGAAGCTTGTCGTTCAGGCAGCTACGATCAGCACTAGCCAGTAAAGAGAGCCTGCTTCAAAAAGCAGAGCGGCTATCATTGGGAAGACTGCTTGCGGTCAGTGTTTCCCGCATCCGCATCTCCAGCCGCTAGTTGAACCGCAGATGGAGTGATGTCCTGTGTCTGCTACTGTGGTTCAAGCAAAGAAGATCCTGACCCCTCTCGGCCCACGCTTTGCGCTCTTCGAATTCCGCCATCATGGGATCCGGTGCATCTGTGTCTTCTGGCGTCCAGGACGCGACTGCGGCTCAGCTGAAGGAGACCTTCTGCGCGCTCTCTCAGGAGGACAGCCGTCAGCTTTCATGCATGTTTTACGACTACTGCATGTTCATGAGAGAAGTGTGAGGAGCAAAAGAAGATTGCGGAAGCCCTGGCAAAAGTGGATGCACCTGCCGCGAAGGCAGAAACCACTGAGGCACCAGCCGCAGAAGCTCCGGCAGCAGAGGCTAAACCAGCTGAGGAGAAGAAGGAAGAGGCACCTGCCGCTGCGGAGAAAAAGGAGGAAGCTGCCCCGGCGGAGAAGAAGGAAGAGGTGGAGATGTCGGATGAGCAGCTAAGCATGCTCAAGGCAGCCTTCGATGACATTGATACCAACGCGTCAAAATTCATTGAGGCAAGCGAGCTGAAAACGGCAGCTAGGCTACTTTAATGTGCATACCTTCACGCAAGCTAATTCACACTGACGGCCTGTCATGACATCACACCTGACTGAGGTGCTGGGCAAGATGAAGGTTGATTTGTCCGAAGACCAAGTCGATGCTGTCTTCAAGCGTGCTGGGCCTGCAAGCTAGAGCAGATACGGTAAGTCTGCAGCTTGTGGAAATTCAGCTGTCCTTTGCACAAATTCCAGGTGCAGATCTCAACAAGGATGGTAAGCTTAGCTTCGACGAGTACAAGAAGCTGGTGTGCGCAGGCTTGTGTAGCTGAGATACCTTTGCACCAAGAGGGGTGGTTTGAGATGTGTTGAGATTTCAGAACCTGCTCTGAAGATTTGCTTTATTCAAAGAATTGAAGCCGGCACATGCCTCAATCCTATACTCCCCCTTACGTAGATCGAATATGGGATATATGGGGATCTGATTATAATATACCCAAAGCCACATTCTATCTACTTAAGGGGGATTACAAATCGGGCCAGCTCCAGATCACAAATCGTCAGAGTCTGCGGCAAACAACCCCCTTCGCCTAGTGGCACCTCTTACTCGTGTCATCTACCCCGCCTATACTGCCCCGCACTTCCTGTCTTTGTTGCAGGCCTCTCAGTGGCCAGGTGAGCGAAGGAGCCCCCAATCATGTTGGGTTGAAGTGAGTGTATGTATGTATGTATGTATGTATGTATGTATGTATGTATGAGTATATGCACATGTCATGTGGATATGCACATACATGCGAGCATTTTGGAAGTAGCATTGATAACAAAAATGTTGTTACAAGTAGTTGTCACGTAGACATACATATACAATATACATTTACACATGCACATATATGGGTGGTTGTCAAACTTATGGTCCCTTTTTGGAGCCCTAGTATAGTACGGCACCTAATATTTAGGTCAACCCAAAACGGGACCATCATTTTGACAACTACCCATATACATATTGGCACTTGCTAGCTTTATATGGTAGTTTCCCAAGATAAGGGGGCCCCAATATAGACCCCAACATACTATAGTCCTTATTATAGGGACCCCCAAAAGGGTACCCCTAATTTTGGGAAATTACCATATTGCTGGCAGGACCAAAGCTGTGCAACTTGCACTGGTGCTTACAGGACGGCTGACCAGGTAGCCTTGTCTTTCTTTTGCCTGGCAGATGCTTCGACCATGCCTGGATCATACGGCCTGTTAAAACATGAGTGACGCTAGGATACTGGAAAAGAAAAAGGAAACTACGATTAGGATTCGAATAACAAGGATTGTAGTATATTGGGTTCTATATCGGGTTCGCCCTATGTAGAGAAACTACCACTTCTCAAGCAGAAGATACTGCAATGGGTTTAGGCCAAGTATGGTCGCATAGCCTCTCTGTGGACAAGTCGAAATGCCATCGTTTGATGACACTTGCGGCTCTCATCTTGCCTCGGAAGTTGACTGATGAAGAGTGTGATACACGTTGGCCCTTAAAATCTGTGGTATTTGTCGCAGTCACCTTCAGAATGCTCAGCTCCGTGCGTTTGGATTTTGGCTCTCTGGGCAAATGCTCACGTGAGCTGCAAGACGCTGTCACTTTGCATGGTCCACTTTTCGCAATGGCCCGGTGGACTGTGACAAAACTGGCCAGCCAACAGGGCTGGCCGGGAACTGCTGGTGTGAATGCTTCGGCAACAAAGCTTGTGCACATGTATCCAGAGGGCGGATCACCGCAAATGAAGCCCGTCCCTGGAATCAATTAAGCGGTGGAGGGCGGCAACTGCACACAGATTCGCAGGCTTCTCGCATGCGACCGCGCTCCGACAGCTGCGAGAGGATTGGGGCATCTCATTCAGCAGTGTGAGTCTGCTGAGCTCGGCCTGAGCCCTGCAGGCGGCCCGCACCCGCACTTAAGCTGAGCTTTGTGGCCTTATTCGACGTCTCGGGCTTCGAGAGGCAGCGGAATTGACAGTATTCAGCATGGCTTGGGCTGCAGCTGCGAGAAGGTTCATGAGCTCGTGGAAGCCCTCCAAAGCCTGGCAGAGGCAAGAGCTCTTTCGGTTTTGGACCTGAGCTGATAATCACCGTGCCCTTGATCGCAGGGTGGAAATGCTGAAGGCCGGAGTCATGTAGCCCCGCTAAGCGGAGGTTTCGAAAGGATTGTTTGTTCCGTGGTTTAGGTCCTGATCCAGGCGTCGCCTGACCCTTATCTTACCCTTGCCAAGAAGCTTCTGCAGTCATTTGCATACTGACTACTGCAAGAGTCCTGTCCCAAAATCAAAGAGATGGATGGCAGATGATCTATCACCAGGCAGCATGTCGTGTGATGCATTTTGTGTTGCTGAGGTCGAGCTTGTGCAGGAGGTCCTGCGACTGCCTGATGCTGAGAAGACCGCTCATTGAGGGTAGTACAGGTAGAAATGATAGTAAGAATGATAGTACTAATAAGAAGTTGTAATCATAATAGTACTAATAATAATCATTGTAAAGCAGATCAACCTTGCCCATCTTTTTGCCCCAGGGAAGCTGGCATGGTGATTGAAGAAGGAACTAGGACAGACAACTCGGTTGATGTGAGGACATGTGAGCTATAGTCTAAATTCCTTGAAGGGGGTTATACAGGGGATTTTTAAATTTGGGGAATTACAGGGGGTATTGAGCGGGATCCTGTGAGTTTGGATCATAGCTGGTAGGCAAACGGGCATCCGCCCAAGCTGTTGGAAGGCACCTGCTGAAGCCTGTGCACTGCGTACTCTTCTTGCGAGCAATCGCTCAAAAGAAGGTCAGTCAACTTCGCAACCCCCGATTGTTGACAGGGGCAGTAACGTTTGCTGAACATCCCTTGCAGTACACACCAACGCAAACAGCCAAACCACTTGTTGAATCATGCGCCAGTGACTACTGCCTCTCTGGAAGACGTCCGAGGCAACAGCAAGCAGAGTTTGTCGAGCCCAGCGATCTTGTGAACACTTTGTGGTCGATTGCGAGGCGACCAGTGTTTGGTTGGTCCGTTCTGCCGCAAGACCAAGTCTACTGTACCAAGATACCTACAGTATGTCTTTATGCCAGGCTGACGACTTGAGATGGAGCAGCAACCGGTGCAACGGACGCTGTTTGTTAACTCAGCTGATGTGATGCTTGCAGCTGCAGCCGCTTTTGGCATTGCATAGTAGATGTGGTAGTTTCAAGAAATGGGGGACCTCCAATATAGTCCTACACATATGCCACACATATGACATCAAGTTATAGTCCTCATTTTGGGAACCCCCCCTAAGGGTACCAACATGAATGGAAAGCCCCAGCTTACTGGTTCTTAGTAGGAAATAAGAGAATAAGATCCCTACAATAGCCCCTATACCATACATTCCAAAATACCTTACTATAACCCACATAAATACCCTCTTAGAACATGGTAGTTTGCATTTTCTTTTCCATTATCGCTAAATAGCCCCAATATGTTCCCACTAGCAAGCCAGATGTGTTATGATCTTTTGGGCTCAATGGCCGAATGCGACAACCGCTGAGTCATCCCTTTATCAATTCCATGATGGCAGTTGCTACGCTATACTTAAACGGGGATAGTAGGGAATAAGGGAACCATGATATTGGGAGTACATGGGGATCATATCCCCTTATTCCCTACTAACCACTAGAAAGTATGAGTGAATCTGATCTTGAGACAAGAGGAAAAATCACTTCCCTTCTGGATTGCCACTTTTTGAACCCAGCTTGTGCATTGCGGACAACTCCTGTAAAGGTGGGCGACAGTCGGATGATATGTGGAGCAATGCATTTAGTAGATGCAATGGTCAACAATGACGGCCCTCTCATGGAAGTCATGCTTGTTCTGCGCTGCAGCTACTGGTTGCTTTGCTTTCTTTGTGTTCTGGAGCCTGGGTGGCACGAGCAGGCTTGTCCTATCCACTGGTTCCCCTCTGTCTGGCATTGCTGGGTGTGTTTGCTTGTTTAATTCTTCAGGGCAGCCACTGAGGAATGCGAGGATAGGTGATTTTGTGTACGATGATGTATACGCGATTGTCCAGAACCCTGACGTATACTCCTCAGCTCCATGGCCAAACTTGCTCAAGAATGATTTTTGGGGTTTTCCCCTGCAGTCAGAGAAGAGTCATAAGAGCTTTCGACCATTGACCACCCTCACGTTCCGGATCCAAATGTCTGAAAACAACGATTCTGCTGACAAACGGGCTGCCAACATGATGCACCTTGCCAACGTCCTGTTACACAGTGTGAACACTGCCTTGCTGGTACCACTTTACAGAAAGTTCGGCTTCACCGGCCAGGAGTCTCTCATTGCGACTACACTATTTGCATGTCATCCTGTGCATGTGGAGGCTGTTGCGAATCTCGTCGGTCGTGCTGAACTTCTTGCCGCGTTCTTCTCCATTCTGAGCATTTTGTTATGGTCACCATCCAACATCTTATGGCCATTTTCATTGCTGTTGGCCTCATTCGCGCTATTGTGCAAGGAGACAGCAGCAGTGGTTGCCTTGCCCATGTGTTCTATCATGCAAATTCTAGCTTGCTTGAGCATGAAGAAGGCTTCGTTCCAAGCCAGATGGAAGGCGATTCTACCCTTGATGCTGCTCTTGTTGCTTCTGGTGGCACGTGTTTCGATGCACGGTGGGTCTCTTCCCTTTCTCCACCGTGAATCGAACCCTGGAGCTTTTGCAGCAGACGTCGTGACGCGGGTGCTTACCCTGCACTTCTATGCATTCAGGCTCGACTGCTGGTGGTGCGGGTTTGTAGCTGCAGATCCACTGAAAGTCTGATAGCTTCTTTCAGTCACGACCCTCGTAAGCAAAAATCTGTTCCAAGGGACATAGGAATCACCACCCAGGGATTGCTTCAACCGGTGATCTTCGGGGAAGGGGTTCAAGTTCAGCATCGTTTGAATGTACTTTGTGTTGAACTTGGTCGGTTTGATGTGAACTTCACTGTTGCTTGAGGCTGCAGTGCCCAGAGAAGTTGTGTTAATGGAAGGAAGGACGACGTGTAGGGTAAAGGGAGGAATCAATCATGCATACAGGCAGGGGAAAAATGTTGTGCAGCTTCTTGGCAGATGATGTTTGCTCCAGGCACCTGATGCTACTGGTATGGCCGCGTCCACTTTGCTGTGACTGGAGTTATGGCTCGATACCGCTTGTTGAGGAGTTTGCAGACCTACGCAGTCTCTTACCATTCTGCATCGTCTACGCACTTCCCGCTGGCCTTCTAGTGCTTGCTAGTACCTCGGCAGGAAGTCTGGGTGAGCAGTTCGTGGCCACTGGGGGACAGGAAATTTGTGGGCGCTTTTTTCAGGTACTCATAGAGGAGTAGCGACCTGTACAGCGGTCTTTGAGCGTAAGGGTGCATCGCGTCTTGGAGCAAGAGAACTGATATTATGTTGAAAGCCAGCTTGTTAGATCGATTTCACGTCTTGGCTCAAGTGAGCGTCGCTCTCGTGGCAGCTGTTCCCCAGCGCTGAGTCTCGCAACAAAAACAAAGGCAGTGAGAATTAACTCCCATGGTGAAAATGGGAAGTATCAGTCAGGCCCAAGGTGTGTGAGCAAGGTATCTGGACCCCACAGATTTTGTTGGTAGAAATGGATGTGGGATGATGCGAGGTATCGGGCGTTGGACATGCTG